AATTTTTCAGCTTAATTTAGGATATTTTTAAATACAATCACAACTCTACTGGAACACCATCAGTCTCTTAAAATTGTTGCTTTTCACATTACAGTAGTTTCCATGGACAAATCTTATGGAGCTGATCTCTCTATTTTCTTTCTGTAAAAGCTTTTGTCTCATAAACCTATGGAAATTTATAGCACCATGTATATTAAGAAAGCTGTATTGAGAAAGCAAAAAGAAGATATACCTAACAGAAATGCTGAGTCATAACTCTCCTGCATCTCCTGCAGAGGTAAAGTTCAAGATCCTACAAATCCAGACCAAACAGGATTCTAGTGGGGGACTTAAGGGTACACAGGGCTGCCAGCCTGCCCCACCACGGGTGCCATCTTGTCTGGGAGGGAACTTTGAGATTTATGGCTGATAAATAAACAGTATTTACAAGAGTAATTTAAGGTCTAGTAGAGAGAAATCACATAATCAACATAAAAGAAAAGGTTCCGTGTGTTTGCAGAAGCCCATATATGAAAGTGTATCTTGTGATGCAGAATCAACCCTGTGATTATTGCAATAACCTCTGAGCCAGTATCTGTTCTCCAAGCTGTTGATTGTTCGGATAGGTAGCAATGAGTAAAAATCCACTTTTCAGTCAGTCTTGTTGTCTCTAAGTATAAAGAATACTATTTAATTATTGTTAATGGTGCCAGTCATATTTTCAGCAGCACAACAGCTCACACTGACAGAATAATGCTCTGTAGTATGATTAGCATTTAAGTGCATAATCAACACATTGGTCATGTAACAAGTGTGGAGAAATTTCCTTCTGTTTATATTCCTATGTCAATCTAAATCCAAAATTTCAGTTTTCTTGAAGATTTTAATCAAAATCACATTTATGTATGAAGCTGCTTTATGAGGTCTTTCTTAAAATCATGGCAGTTGATTTGCAATGCCTTTTTCTCACAGCACAGGAGTCTCACTGTTATTTCTGACACCCCATCATTTCCTAGCCAAATAATACGTCAGCAATGGACAATATCAGCATTTGGACTATGGCCTCTAAACTGTCAGAGTTGTGTCTTCCACAGTCATCAATGGTTATTTTGGGAGCTGTCAAAACAGGACTGGAAATGTTATAAAAGCATTTGCTAACTACCAGAACCACTAAGTATTTATTCAGGTGTAGACTGGAGCAAGAATAAGGGACAGAGGAGAGTCACTAGGCAGAGGATATATGGGACTAGTTTTACTTTTCACTGAAGAGCTATACCCTTAAGGAAGTAGGAAAAAGGGAAGAATATGGATTTTTTTTTTTTTTCCCACACCAGTATATGCACGGTATTTCAGTAGTAGCTGTTGAATTATTAAGACTGGTTGCTGGGGCGATGATGTGGGAGGGGAGGACTGTGGTGGGAGGGTGAAAAGGCACCATGGCAGCTGGGTGTGGTGGGTGTGGTGTGGTAAGAGGCTGTGCCATGGGGCTGTGGATGCCCAGCAGTGTGCAGGGCTGTGCTCTCTGGGCAAGCCATGCATGGCAGAGGGATGCAAGCAGAGGTTGGGCTTTATGGTAAATGCAATGCTTTACCACCCTGAGAAACAGCTCTGGCACAGCCGTTTCTGGCACAGGCCCTGTGGCTGTGGCTGGGGGATGGACCCCAGGAAGGAGGGATGTCTCACAATCCTCACTCACCCTCACAGCCACACCGGACCAGCAGCCCACGGCAGATGGCTGGGTCCTGTTGAGGGGGTGCTCATGACACCCACATGAATTCCAGCTTCCATGGAAATCCAGATACTTTCACACTGCACACAGTCCCTGCCCAGGGTCCTTGTGCCCCTGCAAACACTTCCTACTGCAGCCAGCTCTACTTGCTCCCCATGCTGCTGGACCCATTCATAGCCCCCTTTTCACTTGCTCTTCAATTTCTACCCTGTAGAGCTGTCTCTTGACCCATCCTTGGATTTCTTTTTATGTGAGTGACACCTTTCACCACAGTGTCACAGATACAGCCTTTGAAAAGCAACCCCCTCACAAGCAATATTTAGCAATATCATTTAGATGCAGAGTGGCAGTGAAGATCTGTACATTCCCTATCACCACAACAGGAGGCACTTGCTAGGAAGGGATGAAATCCCTTACATCCTCTAGTGATTAGGTACCAGAATTAATGTTTAAGTGCTTGTGAAGAGCTCTTTAATAGAGACGAGAGAATGGTAAGAAGGAAAATGATGTCACCTTTCCAATAACCTTCTCTATATTTGAGCTCTGTCTTTTGCAGAAGCTGAATCATAAACTACTTTCCTCTCTGACAGACAATTCAGAGCATGCTAATAATACTCTCTGCAGGTGCTAATAGTGGATGACTAAATCAGAAAGCATGGAAGGTGGTAGGGAAGGCGGCAGAGGCTATAAAAAGTTTGTTTGCTATCACATTATCAAGTGAATCCGCAGGATGCAGAGTTCTGCTTTCTTGCCACATCCAAAATCAGAAAGGAAATACTTAAAAGATTTGTGTGCACAATGGGCATGGGCAAGTTTTCTCACAAAGGTCACTGGGACTGAAAGCCAGTGATCCCTTCTCACAAAAGAAAGAGATCTGTGGAGCTGGGACCTGGATCCCCAGCCTTACACATGCACATACGGTAAAGAACTATAACAACAAGGGTTGCAGCACAGGATGCCAGTCCTACCCAAACATATTGGGTATTTAATTTATCATTATTGTTTATCTGTATTACTTTATTAGAAAAAAAGAGTAATCCAGTAGGACACAAAACCTATATTGCCCTCTCCATGAAAGCTTACGCTTTAAGGGGGCTTACTTGTAAATTAGTTCAGGGATGAAGAAACCTTTGGATGGAGCTCTGGAGTTGTTTCTCCCTGAGTCATCCACCATCATTTTTTGGCCTCCTGTGAGCAAAATGCAATGTTTTCCTACCATGTGGGTACATAGATGCTCCCACAGGATGACAGGAAGTACCTGCATTTTGGTCAGAGTAAGCACATTCTCCTGCTTATTACAGGATAGGCTCTGCAAGACAATGGGCTGTGCATGCAACTTTCATCGCACACAATTGCTCATAAATACAGTCCATGATGGAGAGTGATTGCACTTGGTCACACAATAGACACAGGTCTGCTGAGCCCAGGCTCTGGAACTCCTATCCTGTATACAGGATACAGTGTGTAGGTAACTCATGGAGAAAAAGGTTAACATGAGAAAACACTCAGGAGTATGATGGCTTCAGGTGACTATCAGCTGTATTTTGTCAAAGTTTTGGAAACTTTGTGGCAAAAGAGAAGGCTAAGATGGGATGCAGTTTATTTTTATTTATTTATTTTATTTTGTACTTTAGGCCTTTTTTGGTTTCTTGGAGAAAATGGATATCTAAAAACCGACAAAGCAAATCTCAGACCTAAAACACAGAAAAAAGTTAGTGGATACTTGGTATAAGTTGTTTAAATATTTGATTACAGGAAAGGAAATTTCAACTCACTGTCTTTCAATCTGAGTTCTTGCAAAAAAATTTATACCTTTGAGGCTGTGTTATGTTGTGGGCCATTAAGCAGTACTGGATTTTCTCTTGATCAGCTCAGGTCATTCCTTAATTATATTAATTCCTTTCAGCCAGTGCTTTTCCTTTGCTTTTTTCCACTACAGAAGTGTGTGTACTTATTGGTCCAGTACATCACCAAGACAGACATCCATGCAGCATGAACTTTATTTATAAAGGATGGATTAGGCATAAATGTCACAGTTCCTTAAAAAAAGTTTAAATTAACTAATCAACTGGTGAAAACTGAACAATAATAATATTTACATAGGACAATGCTCACCTTCCTTCACAAAACTTAAAGTAAATTCTCACTCTGAAACACAGACAATGAAATATAGAAGCACACTGATAGCTAGCAGTTTCTTTGTAGATAGCAATCCACGTCTCTTACAGAATTCACAGCTTACAGAACTTACATTTTCTCTGTAAATTAACCTAAATTAGCTCTTTGGCATAGTCATATACCGATGCCTGCATTTCAAGGCCAGTACTGTAACAGACTCAGGCACCAATGGCATCTGTATAAAGTCAATGATCCCCCCATTGGTGTATCCAGCAAGAAAGGCCTGCCCAAATATTAGATATCCTCTGACAATGTCTATACTCATCCTTCCTACACCTTGACTGAGTGATGTTAACACTGACTCTATAAAGACAAACAGGAAGCTTGCAACTTAGCATTTCCAAGCACCAAGACAGAGACAGTGACCACTGATATAACACTTAGAGCGTACAAAATATCACAATGCCCGGTGCTGTTCTAGAATATGTTTTTTAGATTTTCACCTGAATTTCTCAGCAATGTGATCTCCATTTTCTCACTCCTTTGAAGCACCTTGGCAAGAAAATATCCCCAGAAAATGTATTGGGAGTGTTTTAGAACCATCTCATCTGCTTTCCTGAGTGCACTTGCCTCAGCTTGAAGTCTACAGCCAGTCTACAATTTAGTCACAAAACACCACTTTTGTAGAAATAAATCACTTGCAGGTCAGTCCCACCATTTGATCTCTTCAGTTATTCAAGTTAATATCATTTTACCATCCACCTTGTTAACTCTCTTCCTTATGCTAATAAAAACAGACATATAATTAGGCTTCTACTCCAACAGTCCTGCATGGTAAAACTATCCAGTGTGGCACTTACTCCAAAAATTAAAGCTTCAACTGAGTCCTACTATTAAAGAAATATACTTTACAAATCTTCATATAAAAAGCCTACCTGGATCAATCAGAAGCAGTATACTATAGAACTGTACCAACTCCTGTTGCCCTATGCCAACTGTTTGATAAATAAGACTTGTAAACCAGAACCTGCTCCTAAATTTACATTTCCTATTTCTGGAATGTGCAAAAGTTTCCTAACTCTTTTTTTAATGAACTTGCATGTGGTCTTCTTTGTCAGAGAAGAAGTGCACTCATTAACCTCTCTTCTGATAAGAAATGCTTTCCACCATGTAAGTCTCTGTGTTTCTATCAGGAATTGCAGATGACTTCCATCAGAACATTAAATTAGAAATGTCACTTCAATGTTTGCAAATATGATCTTAAACTGTCTGATTAGATATCATTCTAATAAACAACAGAAAACAGTCCTGTTTCTGTTCAGAAAGCAGAGCCTCTCAAAAGTAATTTCATGAGATGGTGGAAATTAGTATCTTGTGCCATTCAGGAAATGTGTCTCTTTTCAATTAAATATGTCGTCCAGTCAGGAAGAAAAGTGGTCTGTCCTCTTTGGCATTGGCAGTCTGGAATTCGTCCCGCAGACGGAATTGCCATTCGTCCTCCAGCTCCAGCCGGACAACGGTCTGGCGGAGAGAATTGCGGTCCTGGCAGATCACACACAGGGTGGCACCTAAGCAAACAGGCCAAAAGAAACTCATGTCAATACCCCCTTTGTTCTCATCACCCACCTCCCACCACCCTTTGGCATGGAGAGCTCCACTCCTTTCACATTAGGAGTTACAAACGGGCTTGAGAGAAAACTAAGCCTCTCAGGTAGGACTTGAGGAGAGCTGTGTTCAGCTCTGCTGTCAGGATCTTCTTGTGTAACTTAGGTACCTCATAATCATCTAGTAAACAGGACTAGTGGCACTTTCCATGATCCTTAGGGTAAGAAAGGTAAAACTGGCAGGTCTAGAGGAGGTCATGATGGATCCTGGCAGCAAAGCAGATAAAGTCCTATATCCATTCCTGTTGCAGCCCTCCAGATCATTTGTTGTGTGAAACTCTTACTCAGCAAAAGCCACAAGGCAATCACTGAGATGGATGACTAAGCTCTTTGTGCTTTGCTGCCCAGAAATGGTCTAAACATGTCTTTAAAACTAATCACAAATTTTAGTGTTTTTTGGATTGGTAAACTCACATGCTGGCAAGAAAGAATCTGGTCTATGTGGCTACAGACACAAGCAAACCCAGAATGCCAAAGTAAAAAAATCACACTTCAGTAACCAATGCCAACTGTCCTGTCTGGCATGCTGATAAACCACTTTAACTTGCATGTGTGGCTTCCTGGCTTCTGAGAAAAGTCCTCTTTTAAGAGAAGATAATTACATCACCAGCATTCAATAATCTAAATGAGAGATGGTAAGTGGTAATGCCCAAGACAAAAGAATCCTGTGAATATAATAAAAAGGAACAAGACAGACAGTCATATGGCATTTAATTCTCATGTCACAGGTTGGAAAATCAAGTAGACTGCCAGGGGAGATGGAGAAATCCCAAAGCAAATACACTTTGTGCTACATGATATAAAAATTGACTGGTTTATGTAAAATGAGACTGACTTGTAGCCTCTGTTTTAGCTGCAGCAAAGAACACAGCAGTTTATAACTGCTCTGCCAGTTTCAAGAGGCACTAACCACTAACCACTCTTCTCCCAGTGACAGCTATAGCTGAGTGAAACAAATCCCCAGAGCACCAAATGCCTAAGATAGCAAGAGAAGGATCCAAAAGAAGTTTGCAATGTGGCTGTCTGCAACACAAGTGGAAGTTAGTTGACTCCACTGCTACACACCATCATAAGGTTTACATGGAGAAACTGGCTATTAGGAATAAATTTTAAATGAGCCAGTTTCTATTTCTAAAAATAAAAACTAGATTTTGATAGAGGCTTGTCAACCACCCATTTTCTACCAAAATTTAGAAAACCTCCAAGAACATAGTAGGTAAATGCTTTGTGTATAAATCTTCAGTACTCAGTTTTCAAACAGAGTAAGGAGTTGTGCACATACTCTAGGCATGATGATATGGATCCAGCATTCCTTCCCACTTAGAAATCTGTAGAACTTATAGTACTGCTATTTACCAGTTTACTACAGTGCAGAGCCAGCATGATCAAGCATCAAAGTTGGGTGGGACATCTAAAGAAAAATATGAATACATGCATATACATATATATGCACATATATTAAATAAATAAAATAGATTTAAACCACAGATAAAATAGATTTTTCCCACATTCTCAGAGACCATGTCACCTAATTCTTTATAATAAAATTATTGCAGCTCACCTTTAAGAAAATGGAACTTCTTCAAAAAGCTAGCTACAACAAAGGAGTCACAGAGGTACAGCAGGAGACCACTGAATGTCAAACCAGAGGAACTGATATTCAGAGAATGAGGCCGAGAACTCACGTAGCAAACTGCAATCTGATTGAGAGAGTGGAAAAAATTAACTTCTTTTGGGCTTCCATATGAAGCTTCCAGTATTGGCACCTGATTCAAATTCAGACTTGCTTTCCAGCTCCAAATATTGTGAGCTTTATAGTTCCTTCCAAAACATCGTGCTACTTATTAACAATGTACATAAAATGCAATTCATAACTATGTATTGCTACTACTCATTATTATTATTATCATCATGATAGAGAACTGTAATGCTGTGACCTGCCCAGCACATTTTATTTATATGTGAGCAAATACAGTAACTCTATAGTCAGATATGAAAAGGTCTCTTAGAAATTCTAAATTTCATTTACATAGGATTACTCAGATCAGTAGAGTTGTGCATATGCATGAATTTATGAGGTTTCCTCTTGCCTAGTTTGTTTTTATGGCTACTCCTGAAATCCACTAGGAATGGGAACATTTACACTCTTCCAGGATTTATAATTTCAGATTAAGGGAATCTTCCATGCAAGACTTTGTTCCAAAAGTACCACTGCACTTCTTAGCGTACATACATACTCATCTGGCATGGATCAGCGTGACTGAGTGGAGGAAGGCTGAACCACAGCAACAAAAACTCTGTACCAGTATGCCTATTCCATATTCCTTCAATCCTATTGTATCATATTCTAGCTCAGGCAGCAATTCCAGAATGAAATTGAAATAATTTCATGTGCTGAATGGGTTAGAGCTGAATGAACGTCATGGATGAAGATAGTAACAGTACAATGTCCTCCCACAGAGCTTGTTTTTCCAAACATGGTGGGAAAAAAACCCTAAGAACCCAAAATATTCTGGGAGCAGCATACATGGGAAGGTTATTACACAGCTCTTTGGAAGAGAAGTTCAGTAAACCCAGAAAGGCTGAATTTTATTTCGTATTCAATGAAGGGATAAAAACAGTCCCTCTCTCCTGAACCACACCACCCTCATACCAAATTTCTATTGACATATTAGAGTTGAAGTATGACCTTGGCTTTAGATCCAAACTCATCAGAGAGAGCCAACAGCTCTTGAGACATAATGTCAGCTTCTCCCATTCCAACTGGCTGTCTAGTATTTGATTCTTGGCCTCAGTTTATCAGTCTGAAGTGAACTAAAACATCTGTATATTTGAAGTGCTTTCTAAGGGTTATCTAGTATTTGTAAAACCCTCTTGTGGAAAAAATTTTCTGTAGGAAGAGCCAAATTATAGCAGATTGAGAAAACACTTCACAGACTATATTAGTATTTAGGACAATTCTGGGATTTCTCTCCATGTACTTTAGTTGAAGCCTCCAACAATATCTCCATGGGACTAAGAATTAGATTTTAACATTATAGGGATGTACCTCATTCTTCAAAGGCTGTGCAATCATTATTAAGGAATACATCAACTAACCCATCCAAAACAGAGCCAACACATTTCTAGAGCTACTTGAAGATACTTTTGTTCAGTACCTGTGGTCCTAAATTCAGGTAACAGTCCACAGATAGCACTGGATGGCTATAATTCTTCAGTGAGAGAGGGAAGAAGCGATGGCTGTGGTACTGGAGATACTTTTCAAGGAGCAACTGAGCAGGTGCTGCCAGGAAGGTGTGCTTGCTGTCAGGAGCACAAATGTACTGAGCAGGGGAGATTGAAACTGAAGTGTCAGATACCTGTGAGGAAAAAAAAATTCTCATACAGATCAATCTTAATCAATCAAGTTGTACTTATATGAATTCTAGTTTGTATAAAATATATCTCTGCCCTACAAATCTAAGTTTTAAGAAGAAAAGTTATTCAGACAAAAATATCTGCTACCAAAACAGTTTCAGTTTAATAAAATTATATTTGTGTTTGTAGCCTTTGAAATGTCTTCTTTGAACTCAAAGTACTCATACCTATGAAGTCACACGAAGATGAGAAATTCCATAGCTGTAAATAAAATCCATATAGTGAATGGCTACTTGGATTGCAAAGAGACACTTTACATGGTTTTTTTAAAATTTTAAAGGAAAACAATTAAGGACAGTTGTATTTATGACAAGAATATTGTGGATTTCAGAAATAAGTGACTAAAAAAAGCCCCACATGGCAAACATACTCCATCACTGGCAACAGATGATGCACCAAAATACCTCAGTTCTCCTGGTTAAAAAAGACAAAAAAAGGAAAACAGAATTTTAACAACAGTGCAACAGAGGCTCAGTTCCCACCTTAGACTTTATGTGGAAGGATCGTTGTCCTCCTACTGCAATTTGCTTTTTCATGACATTGAAGTGGTTGAAACGACAGATGAGAAGACCAGCACTGTGGACACGCAAGTTGAAGTCAACATCATCACATGTAAATCTGAAAAGAAAAAAGTAATAGGTCTGGGGAATGCTTCCCATCATACACTGACAAATACAAGCACTCAGAGCCTTTGATCAGCACCATAGAAAGGACAAGTATCAAACATACTGACCCCCCAGCAGTGCCTATCAGTCAGGGAAAGGGGCTTCAGCTTTCTAATAATAAACTAGGCTAGACTCAGTTTGAGAAGACCAGAATGAAGAAGGAAAGCACTTAGAGGGGGAAAGAATCAAAAGTATAAAGTGGAAAGGCAGTAAATTGCTGGAAAATTCCCAGGAGTTAAAACATTTTCTTTGCCTTTTACTGCAATAATGGAGTCATAAGAAATTGCTACATACATTACTACCCCAAATACAGTCAAGGAAATTAATTCCTTTGACTTCCAAGGAAATGGATGAGGCCCTACATTTGATTTATCAAATGCACAGAAGTATCTGACTACTCATTTTCCCATCAGAATATGAATATCTAGCAATTTTTTCAATGTTCCTCTACAGAACTAATGTAATTTTATTTTAGAAATGAAAACTATTTGAAGGCAGGGAGTCTTTAGACAAGAGAACTGCTGAGACACAGAAGATTAAGCAGAATGAGGCCAAACATCCCTGAGCTAAATTTGACCTATTTAAAAAAAAAAGATGGAACAGAATAAAAGGTAAACTCCTAAAGCTGACTAAATTCAAATACTCTGATCTCTGGAAAATCCAGACTCAGTTCTCCATTTTGATTTTATTTATTACAAAGGAAACAGGATGAAGTGCAGAACCACTGAATTGACATCCAGGGCTTGAATTTAAGCAAACTGAGCAATCAGTACAACCATCAACATCAGTGAGAAACATTCAATTCAATCCTAGGTTTTAAAAGTTTTGTCTTTGATCTTAGCAATATCTACATGGTTATTTGATATCCCTCACTGTCACTGTCTCTGTGTTTTAAAATGTACCTTTTTCCTTGCCCAGGCTTGGAATGCCATACAATACTTCACCCTCAGCAGTACCCACACAGGATTACCATGAGCCTTATGTGGCTCAAAGACAGAGGCAGGAAATGGGTGGTGTTATGTGGCATTCCTGACATTTTAACATTGTTGCTTTTTCTGGTAACATTTTGCTTTATTGTCATTGTGTCCATTTGCCCTTCATAAAAAAATGCTTCATAAGGTAACACACTTAGGCAGCCCAGGAGCACAGCTCTCTACTAGGAGATGCACAGGGACAAATCTGTGCTTCTAAGATGTCAGGCTGATGACAACAGAAATATAGGTCATCTGCTTATTCACAGAATAATGAAATCAGAATGCTTCCCTGCAGTTATAAGTAAGCTTGGTCTTCAAAAGAAATCTTCCTGAGTTAGCAGAGTTCTTCTGAAAAGCAGTGACTGATGTTCAGTTACCTAAGTGTAGCTGTGTAAAGCCGTTTTAAGTATCTGGGCTATTCCACCTGGCTTACAGAAAAACACACGTTTTGTATCATACCTGCCAGCCCCATATGGATGACTTCTATGTTCTAAGGCACTGAAAGACCAGTTTTGGACAGTCTTTGAATAAGTTTGAATCCCACCTCTAGTGATATATAGATACATTTTATTCTGTTGTAATAAATGCATATCCCTCAGAAATGGAGGGAAACTCACAGTTTATTTCACACAGGTCAGTGAAATTCTGTGAGACTATGAACCTAGTGAATACAGTTCTGTTAACTGTGATAATGCTGTGTATGACAAAATTATAATCTGATCTATCCTAAGTGGCACAATAAATGAAAAAGTGGGATTTCTGAGACAGCTGAATGTGAGAAACAACCACCAATGTGAACAAGACTTATTTATTCTTTTCTTCTGACTGTCCTGATGAGCACACATGTGGTATGTTGACAAAATCTGTCTGCATGCCATTCACAACCTCCCTAAAAAAAAACAAGAGCGTTTGTAAAACTTCCTTTATTTGGTTCATCACCTCTGCTGAAAAGTGCTCCTGATTCACTTACCTGTTCTGATTGTACTGTACATTCTGTGTCAGATCCACATTTAGCATAATGAAGTCATGCACATGGCAGCAGGAGAATGGTTCCTTAATCTCAGCACTGTTTGTTTTACTGGACCATTTCCTCATCCCAATTAGGGCATAATGAGTGACATTGGGAGTTGCTTCAATATGTTGCAGAATTTGCTTCAGGGAAACATTCCTTTCAGTCCATGTATAGTCACTACAATAATTATGAGAATGTGTTAATTTTAAAATATATGGAGAACATTCAGAAATTCTTTTAGCTGAAGAACAATTCTTAACAGTTGGAAGTTGTTATGACTTTCAGGTAGATAACTTCAGTGCTGTATTTACTGTATTTTTTTGTCTCTCACTCTAGTTAAAATTAACTGGTGCTTATGTGGTGGGGACCAGTACGACAGATCTGAAACTTAGTTTAGATATCTCAAAATATTCCCTCAGATATGTAAACTTTTAAAGTTACCTAGATAATATTCTAATGAATCTCAGAGGGTTGCGGACTTGTGCCATAACTTAAGCACAAAGTATTAAGATCCTTCTAGCCTACCCCTAGAGTCCATAAATCTCAGTTTTCATAGAGTTTCATTCTCTGGAAGTTTGCTACAAATTCTGCATAGCCTTTTCATGGAATAGATAAAAATATCTAGCACAAACAATATTCTAAAGTAATGAAAAAAAAAAAAAAAAAGCTAGTTCAATGATTTGGGGAACTCATAAAAGAGACACACAGAATGGGACTGACAAAAGAGCCAAAGGAAATCAGTTGTACAACTTTGCACAGAACTGTCATTTAGCTTCCCTAGAAAAATCTAGTGAAAAAATGGGCATGTGAGTGTCCTTGTTGTCCAGTGTACCAGGGAGTGTTTACAGAGTCTGAAACCTGCAGTCCGAGTAACTCTAGCTTGAACAGTGACGGCTGCAGGGCACATCAATCCTCAGAGGACAGGAATGAAAAACAGGCACTACACTGTGTCCTATGCAAAGACAGATGCCTAGGGAGTTCTCTCCTTGGGCAAATATAATTCTCTGCTTGTACAGGGTAGAAGTTGTAGTGTAGCAAATATAATTTCAAAATCACATGCAGAGAAAGGTTAAAAGAGATCAGATGAAAAACCATATGTTACAATATTTACCTTTTCCTGTCTCCTGAACAATCAACTTCTACTGCATTCCACATAACACAAGAGTCATCTGAAATGACAATGAAAGGCCAAATATCCTGGGGTTTTATCCCCAGCTCTTCCTGCCGATTGCGTTCAAGCTCCAAGTTATGATAAGACAACTCTTTTATCAGGAAGTGTGCAGCACCTGAAACCATGGGCATAAACCACCAGATTAAAAATAGGGGCAGAAACTGTTTGCTTTTAACTCAGAAACCTTTTGAAGTGAATATTTCTGCAGACAAGGGTATAAATCACTATTAAGGTTTTAACACTCCACCACCCCCAGAGCCAACTTGCTTTGTCACTTGACAAGCAAGTAACTTAAAGAACCACATTGGGAAGGATGAAAAATGAGGCATGACTTCTGTGATAAAGATTTGCTAGTGTCTTAAGGATTTAGTGACTACTTTTAACCTGACAATCTTTGTGTCTGTTAGTGTCTCAGTGCAAAGAGTTAGAGATGTTGACTGACCAGCTGAATGACATCGGAAATTGTCCTTGATGATCTACTTTGAATGTTTGTCACTGCTGCTGTAAATAAATTATTCCAGCAGCACAAGCAAAGGGTTGACTATTTCACAGATGTTATATTAGCAGAACCTACCTAAGAGATGTACCCAGCCAGAGCATCACTGCCCATGCAAATAGTACACAACTTATTTCCACAAAAAAACAGTCAGTAACCCCATCTGAGTTTTAATATACTAATACCGCCCTCAGCTTATTTCAAAGACAATAGAAGAGTTAAGTATTTTTAGGGTGCAATTCACTGAGCTTGTTTTAGGTGTCCTGGATTAAGAGAAATGTATTTTCAGCTGTGACACACTGTCTTCAGAGGGAATCCAGACCACCAGATCAGACATCCTAGCTGCAAGGTGTGTGTCTACATCTCACTGTTGAATAGCGACACCTCAAAGACCCAAGTTGTGTGCCTACATTTTTTAGAATTTTTTGTTACACTTACCCACTCCTGCACTGTTGAAAATGCTTGGAAGAACAAGCATGATGTGGTTGGGCCAATACTTCTTATATATGGCCATTTCATACTCCTTGACAACTAAAACATGCAAATGACTGGCTCCATCCATTGCATGATATAAATTGAAAAGTCCATGTTCATGACGACCAGTGGTGGGAGTAAAAGTCGGGCTTTTTATGTAATCTTCACTCTGTAAGTAAAAAGAAGTGTGAGCTTCTGTATTAATCCAGAGAGAAAAAGGAGAAATAGATTCTTCAGAATAAATCAGATCCACTAACACTAGACAAACTGACATTCTAAATGTCGTTGATAAGAAAATAAACAAATTTTATAAGAATTAGAAAAAAGAAGACTCTATCATTTAGCTTACTTGACTGATGAGAGTGTGGTGGAATGGACAGGACTGCTAATCTTGACCTGCCAAGTGCAGAGGTACTTTGAGACTAGATCTGGAAGAGGATTTAGGTCCAAATGATATAGGACAGTAAGAAACACCTTACTCCAAAACTACAGTACAACATTTCTGACTGGAGCAAGGGAATAAAAAAAGAAGCAAAGGGAGAATAGTCCTTAAATGTCAAATCCTCAAACCAGGAAGAAAAGAATCCACAAGGACCCAGTGCACAGTTCTGACCATGTAGCAAAGCACAAGTTTACTGGGTGAGCGAGAGCAGTTGTCATTCTTACATTGCTGTTGTGTTGCTGTCTAGGTTCTATTTAAAACTTGAACTGGAGGGAGATATTGATTTATTACTGTTTATTGGAAGCAGCTTATTTTCTCCAGGATAGAAGTGATAGTGCTTACTGCTGTTCCACAAACTGCTTCAATACTCCAAGCAGAGTGGCCTGAGCAAGGCACAGCTTCACCTTAGACATGGGTATCAGGAATCTCTGTAAAGGTCAACATCTCTGCACTGCTGTGGCCTCACGTGGAATATTGTGCACAGTTTTGAGCACCAGACATAAGAAAGATTAATTAGACTATTAGATAGTGTCCAAAGGAGGGCAAAAAAGATGGGGAAGGGCCCTGAGGGGAAGCCGTGTGAGGAGTGGCTGAGGACACTTGGTCTGTTCAGCCTGGAGGAGACTGAGGGGAGACCTCACTGCAGGTACAACTTCCTTGGGAGGGGAAGAGAGGGACAGACACTGATCTCTGCTCTGTGGGACATTCCAAGGGAATGGCCTGAAGCTGTGTCAGGGAGGTTTAGGTTAGATATCAGGCAATGGTTTTTCACCCAGAGGGTGTTTGGGCACTGGAACAGCTCCCCAGGGCAGTGGTCACCTCATCAGCCTGACAGAGCTCAAGAAGTGTTTGGACAATGCTCTCAAGCACAAGGTGTGACTCTTGGGGATGGTGCTGTGCAGGGCCAGGAGTTGGACATGATGATTCCTTATGGGTCCCTTCCAACTTAGTTTATTCTGTGATTCTGTGGCCAGAGTTTGCAAAGCCTGTCAAATAGATGACCTTACAAAGTTTTTTCTACAAGCATGGCATGTGATTCTTTATACAGTCTTGAAGCTGTGACTAAGATTCTTTGAAGACATTATTTTTATTTGAAAGTAACTGAGCATTTATGCAGAATAAAACAGGATATTCCACTGCTTTTCTCTACAGAAAAAAAAATGCTTCCTCTTACTCACAGTATGATAAATGAAATAATACCTTTGAGTTTCTTTGCAGAAGCTATTCTCACTTTAACTTCTTAAACCCATAACCAAACACCCTTTGTCACAGACAAAACTGTTTATACCAAAGGATCAACCTTGACTATGATCTAAATATAGAGCTTATTGGTGTCTTGACAATCTTTTTTCACATATCCCTTTCTGGGAGAAAATACAAGCTTAGCATAAGGACATCTTTATTATCTCTTGACAGTAGGAAAAGTAGTATAGAGAATACTAATACAACAAATTTTGAAATTGGTGGAGTCTCTCTCCTGTATATGACTATAAATATAAATAAAAATATCCATCTACCTTATCTGTGACTAGTGGTAGCCTCATGCTTTCCAACTGTCTTCCTGGTTGGCTAAAGACAAAATGATGCTCCTTTGATTTTGGAATGATAAAATGGAGCTGTATCTCTTCTCCCAGCATAGAATAGGAAAAGGCAAATGCATGCAGAGTAGATTCATAAATCTAAGAATGGGAAAAATATGATAATTCCAGTTAAAGTCAAATCACAAGCTCTCAGTGTAATTTATATATATTTACAATATTGCTAAACAGATTACAGTCACTTACTGTATAGCATTAGATTTAACTTCATTATGCATAACTATTAAGCAATATTCCCTATGCTAGAGCTTAAATTAAAAAAAAATACACATTAAAGTGTTCTCTCTTTTGAAACAGTTCTTTCAGCTTTGTCTTGCAGATGGTACCAATACTTGCAGGTCCTTTCTGGCTTTTAGAAATACTTGCACATAAAAATTAGTATTTGCATTGCTGATACCTTCTTCCTCACATTATAATAGGCAAGAAATTATAGGGTAACTCTGAGTAAAAGCAAGTTGTATACCACATATAGACTACTCCATTCTGGACTACTTCTGTATCAGAAGTAGCATCTGTTGCAGTTACTCAGGTGCAAATTTTTCCTTTTAGGCAAAGCCCAGTGGAAAATTTACTGGAAAAGTAGTTTTAACTGGTAGTACCCATGCAGATCACAGCACTGAATAAACTAGTGTAAATGACACAAGGATCAGTCCTGTGATCTCCCCAAACTGCAGCCTGGTCAAGGCAGGCAGACTTCAAGAAATAACAAAATCTGTAAATCAGCTTCATGTGTACACACGTACAACTTCTAAGCCAATCAAAATACAGTGATTAAAATACAGTGATTAAAATACAGTGAATGTACACAAACTGTGTTTGGGTTGTGTGAGCTTCAGCTTCTGATCTGCAGAGTAACACCTGGAAATCTTTACCTGGTACCTGGGATTGAAACCCATATACTGATGACACTGTTCACAGTGATGGTAGGTGTTATATGCTGCATACTTGGACAATCTCATCCTAGTTGTTTGACGGCACGTGTACATATCTTCCTGTCTCCTGCTCATTGATCTGTCTATTCAGAAAAGAAACAAATTAAATGTAACATATATTGAAGGCTAGAATGTATTCTTTTGTGACAGACTCTCACTGAAATCAGCTTCTAGGAAAAATGGCAATATAAAACACATACAAAAGAAACTATCAATTCATTCTGAGCACATTGTTTTATACATTGCTATATATAGCAAAGAGAACTACAAGAAATTATCTAAAAATTAATTATTATGACAATTAAGTACAGATTTCAAATAAAGATGTAAGCAATGCCTGATCATTAAAATTTTCATTGTTGCTATTATTGGTAAAATGCTTACAAAAGCAATAAATAGTAAAAAAGAGCCTTATGACATTTGCCATTCTGTGATAGACATCACAGTAGATTATGTAAAATTAATTTGGCGATTTAGTGATGTTGCTCCAAAGTGTATATCTATATTTCTCAAAGGATGCCCTTTGTTAAAGACTGAGGGAAGATGAGGTGTATTTTTGGCTGAAAAGGACTTTGTTATTTAATCTTCCACTCAGATTTTCAGCATCAGATCAGGTTGCTCAAAGCTGTTCCTTGTCATGCTAAATTTCAAAAACCCCCAAGAGTGGAGTTTTTATGATCTCTCTGGGCAACCTGCTCCATGATTTGACCACTTTTTATTCTGCAAATATTTTTCATACAATCTAATAATTTCCCATATTGCAACTTGTGTCTGTTGTCTCTTGTCCTTATGATGTGCATCTACAATAGTTTGTATCTATTAATTCCCATTAGGAAGTTGAAGACAGAGTTCAGGTGCACTTGCTAGACTTCCCCAGATGAAATAAACCAAATTCACTCCAATTTTCTTCATAATTTGGTGGCTGCTCACTGGCTTCCCTTCTCTATGTCAATGTCTTTCTCATTTTGGCTTTTGGGAAGTCAAAACCTTGACAGAATAACCAGAGGTGGCCTTTGAGTTGCCATCACAGAAGAATAATCACTTCCCTTGACTATTGCTAGATTATTAGTAAGCCATTAACCCAGTGGAGAACTGGTGACACACATTCAAATTATTGTCGACCAGGACCATCCAGTCACCTTGATCAGAGCTGCTGTCTATAGAGCTGGCCCCAAACCTGCACAGCTGAATAAAATTATTCTATCCCAAGTGCAAGGGGCACATTTGGTGAACTGTGGTGAACAGGGTCCTGTTCCTGAAGTTCCACTTCTCCAGCCTGCCAAGGTCTTTCTGAATGGCAGTGTTTCCTCAGTGTACCCAGTCCCATGAGCTTGTGTATGTCCAGCTGGCTGATTCAGAGGATAATTCACACATCAATACTCCAGGATTCTAGATCTGCACATATTCATCTCATGCTTTCCAAACTTAACCTAAACTCTAAAAAATAAACCTACTGACACTTTTAAATACATAACTAACTTTACCCACATAAACCACTTAATTTCTACAGATCAGGACAATGCTATTTTATAAAACCATTTAAATACACAAAGTTATTGTGGAATTAGAACGTCTTTAATGAAAGACGATCCATATAATATTCCACAAGCCATTTATAAGGGTCATACTCTGGTACTTCATCTGGAAAACTTGAAATATTTTTTTCACTATTACTTAATCAAATGCAATTCTGATACTTTAACTCTGCTTAAAAGCTTAACAAGATTCTCACACTAAAAGCAAATAAATACATATATGTGTACCAATCTAGATTTTTAGAATTCTAACCTTCACTGTTTATAGTCTGAAGCTTTGAACAAATGAGACTTGCATCTTCATATTTTGGATCATGGATAGTGTAGTCAAAAGGCATCTTCTTAAATGTCTCCAAATCTGGCCACATATCTCCAGGCTGACGGTAGTATCGATCAGATTCTTCTTTTATGTCTATGATATTATTAAAAAATAAGAATTCAACATGTTTAAAATATATATTGCTATATATGGTTTTGTTGTACCTGTTATTCCTGCTTCATTTTTTCTTTCATTAGTCTGATGACGCAGCATCAATATTCACCAGGAGGTAAACATTTGCACAAATGTACCTTGCACCTCAATGCAACTCTACCTTTTAAAAATTATCTTCATGTCCTGTCTGAGCTACAGAAACACATCCAGAAACACAGAGGAGTATTACACTGTTAATAAAGCAAGTTTGGACTAAATTAGCTATGAGCAAACTTTCTTCCCTCAGGTAGTCTTGTGTACTTAGAAAATACGACATTGCTTCTCATGGTATAAGTCTGCCAAAACTTCGATTACTCCTTTTATATGCTTTACCATAAAATTTCATTCCAATTCTACACTGAAAACCAATGGCTGGATATCAGTTAATACACGTAAATGCTGTTGATCCTTTTCCACAAAAAATAGAGGTATATTCTTTGCTTACGGAGAAGATGACTAAATTCTAAATGATGAATAATATAATAAAATATTCTTAGGTATCAATTGAAGATCACAGAAAATTTTTCTTAACAGTATTTATATAATGCAAAGCAATTGCAAAGGTGAATAGGATAGAATAGGCATAGAACATATGCCATACAGACATGTTTCATACATGAAACAAACATACAACTATGTTTTAATTCAGCTTAACTATTTTCTCTTGTCTCCAGAATATTTTTATAACAGGAACTTACTAATGTTGATTTCTTCCTCGTCATAAACATCCACTTCTGTCAGTCTAATCAGCATTCGGGACAAAATACTGAGGAACTGCAGATAGGCACCTGTTTTCCCTATCTGTAAACATATAAATTAGAGAAGAAAATGAAAGTAAACTTTTGCTTTTCAGCATGTTAATTTTCCATATATCTGGAAATTGTAGTTGTGGTGAAACTGAATATTAATATTCAGCACTTGGATATCCTTATTATTTTTATATTCCTTGGCAAAATTGAAAAGCTTAATGTTCAACAATTTTATTCTTTCTATGCAGGAGCCTAGCTGGAAAATACATTTTATATCACAGGTCTAATTACAGGCCCACAGACAAGAATTTTCTCTCCTGATATTATAGGTTCTACACAGGCAATAAACATTTAAAAATCCATATAAGCTCATAAAATGTAGAAAAAAGGTCAAATTACAAGATATAACTAAAGAATTACCCCAACCCATTCATTTCCATATGATTTACCAGTACACTGCCTGCTACTGAAGTACAATGACTATCCTGAGGAGTAAAATGGCAACACATTCCTGGGAGAGCTCCTGCTGGCCACTTCCACTCCTGAAGGACATGTGCAGCAATGTCCTGTTCCACCTCTCATGCTGAAAACACATTATTTCACTTCCAATCTTTTAAAATTACCTTTTTAAAGTCCATTTTAAAATTCTCCTAAGAATATAACTTTCTCCTTTCTTTTTTACCCCATCAACATACTGTATAAATTTTCCCTTCACTACATCAAGAATATTGTTGGAAGGTCTAAGCCACAGCCAGTGATTTACTCAATAGGTTGTTCTGTCTTTCACATGTAGTTTGCTGATGAGAACATCAAGCAAACAAGACCAAGCAGACAGTTTTAAAAACCATGTGTGAGGTTAGGAAACCTCTGGGTGCTTTTAGGCACCCACACTGTTGGGTTGTCTTTAAAAAGCCAAGCAAGTTAATAGTTACTATAAAGTTATTTATTGCAGAAGCACATCAGTCTCAAAGGCAAAAACAAAGCAAAGCCATGGTAAAAGTACATGGTGTAAAAGCAATGGCATAAAGCCATGGCATAGAGCACCAGCTCTCACTAATGCATGTTCTTTTATAGAAACTTTTTAACTAGCTAAGAAACAAACTCGGACCACTACTTCTTAACCTATTAGAATTTTAGTTCCTTAGCATGCTAGGCTACATATAAACTACGTACATGGCCTATCTTGTTCTAACTGAAAAATGTAAGCATTATTCTTAATTCTAACTCTATTATGCTTGAAGCTAGGTTTTTGGAGCCTCAAAGGAAACACTAGTACGTTTTTCAACCTTCACTTTAACATGTACTACTTCTCAGGCATCTAAGACCTTTTACTTACTAAAAGCACTTAAAACTTATTCCATTTACTTACTTACTTACTCGCTCCATCTGCTCACTTACTCATTTCATCTACTCACTTACTCATTCTATCCAAAGGCTTTAATTCAATCCCTGCATTCTACTCTCTCTCTGAAAGATTCAGAGAGTGTGGGCTGTACAAGGGAGGTTAACACATAGATCAGTTACAATACATTGGACAGCAACTGTCTGATTTCACAAAGTGACATCAGATTTCGGGTTAGGTCGACATTACTACTGAATTGAAAACCCAACTTCCATTACTGCTAGGACATGTCAGAAGCATAGGAATTGCTAAACAGAGTATTAAAGTTTTACTATAACAAGAAAAAATTTTGTTTTCTCTCAATACTTGAGGAAGGGAGACTTTAAATTTGAAGGAGATCAGATTTGTTTTGGTCAAAACTCATTATCTGTTGTTTTTCATATCAGACTGTAGTTGGAACAGTTGCTTGCAAAAAGTGATAAGGGTCTCATTATCCCTGTTGAAAATCAAATGTCAGCACACAACTCTGTCATCCTGGAATAACACAGAAAAAAAAGTGACTTTGAAGAGAGGAAATGACAGCATGGACTATAGTCAGCCCATGGACAAGATGTTTCTAACTCTTAGTTTTGGTTTTTATGTAAAATCCATTGAAACGAATGAGAATTTTTCCTCTGACCTTGGAACAAGGTTCTAAAATTGGCTGCAATGGCTACTGATTGAGGAGCTAAAACAAAACCATCTTATTTTCCCACATCTGAAACAAACAAAGAAAATACTTTCATCTCTTTTCCTCACATCTGAGGTTACTTTTTTATGCTCTTATGAATGTATTCTTTTAAAGTGCCTCTGATCATCTTTTCATTAAACACAGGGTATCGTGACAGATTAACAGTTTCCTAATTTCAAACGAGATCATTTATCAAGAGTACACCTGTCTCCTTGATATTAAATATCTATAAAAAAAAATTCTTAATCTGTTTGAAGTATATACTTAGACTTATCAACAGAACAACACGCTGAAAACCTTACTTTTTCTTTTTTATATGCATTAATATTTCGTTCTATCAAACTCATGTATTTTTCTTTCCTTGGGGGTCCAGTCTTTGCCAATGGCTTTTCACAATATGTGTGGGAGTGACAAGGCTACTGCTACACTGTGCTGGGATGAAAAGCATCAGTCACTGGGCTCAAGTGTACACAAAGTTGTAGGGTCGTGAGTTAAAAATGCTGGAAACCACAGGATGATAAGTGCTACACCATTAAACTGTAATGCAAGCACTTAGGCTATTGCATGCATCAGACCTTGAACAATCTCATTATCTGCCACATTAAAAGTTTCCAATTCAGTATTGTGAGTTTTATGAACTGCTAGGTATGAGCAATGCTGTATGTAAAAAGCTGTTGGGAGTTTTGAAGAATATCTTCATGTTATCAGAATATTTCCCTGCCAGGACAGAGATTGGGCTGAGCACGTGCAGCATTCATATTTGGACTCCATTCACTGGCACATTTGCCTGCATTTGTTGCTCAAGAAATGAACTGGCAAAAGACAGAACACCTTCTTCGGGTCATTTTGAGAAGAAGATTTTCGAAATGAAAATGAGAAATTAATGACTTCTCATTTACAATCAGCATTTACTCCAGATAGGAAGAATCTTGAATAAGTGAACTTGCAGCATACCCAGATAGCTAAATGCACCTTTAAAATTAATTGTACTATTTTCTATATGTACCATATTTAGGCAAAATGGAATAACACAGAGATCTTCCTTTGCTTGAAAATACTGAATAGTTATCAAAAAACACAACTTCCACATCTCTCCAAAGAACCCCTGCCCCATCTGTCATACTCCTTTTTCCAAGAGTCTGTGCACTGTAAGCAGCTACAAAGAGATCCTACGAGCAGGATAACACACCTTTGAAACACAAAGCCCTACATCTGCCCATCCTCTGTCTCCTGACTGCAACAAATACAAGATCTGAAAAGAGATTTTAAAGTGGATACCTGATAGGTCTGCAGCTTTACATGGCTTTAGGGAAGCCAAACACAATGCTGTGCTCATCCTAACTAGTGACTCTGGGCTAAGCATGATATATTAATAATGACAACAACTGGTAAGGGAATTCTTCACCTCAGCAAGGTGTCTTTCCCCATCTTCTGTCTTTGTTCTGGATACCAAAGTTGCAAACAGATTAAAGGAAGGAACCTAGAAGGGCTGCATTTTTACAATTTCTGAAACAAAATGTACATGAGAGGGGCCACTATGACAAACAACTCTACTTTCTGGGAAAAAAGGTTCCTCAAGCATGTGGCAGTGCTCTGTGCTTTGTAAGATAAGGCACTTGGGAGGCAATATTCCCCAATAATGGAAGTATTACTCTAATTTGTTCCTGTCTGCCTGACTTTGGAAGATGGAAGTCTGAAGAATCAGACTTAGAAGAAGAAAATCCCAGAAGACTAAGAAGTGGTAATCTCAAATCTTGTGAAAATTGATGATAACTAAGGAACTTGAGGCCTGATGATATTCAGGGTTTGTTTCTATTTTCATCCTTAGTGCCAGGGATGATTTGACCCACAAAATACTAAGAATATGCTTACTCTGCAGCTCTTCATTCATGAAGGGTGTAGCTGCAGCAAGAGGAAGAAAATTTGACATAGATATGAAGGTCTAGTTTTTGTATCAGAGACAAATATTACCAAAGAGGAGGGGAAAGCTCTCCAAAGATTTTGACCACTGAACTCTGTTTGCCATAGATATCAAGGATAGGGTGCAAACCAACTAAGAACTTGTGAGAGAGCATTCCAGTCAGATAAACTGCATGTGTGCCTCCATGCATTCATGGAATGACATCCGAAAATGCTGTTGCAGAAGGTGTAACTAATGAACTTCCTTTTTTAACTTGTCCCAGATGCCAGACACAAGGACCACTAGAAGCACTTTATTATTCTTACATGTTGCTATAAAGTATCATCTGATTTCAGGACTCACATTTGGAGAAATATGGTGAAAGGGGGAAATAATTCCATAAAGTTTTTCTATTCTAATTTCCAGGTAAGACAGTTCTTCACATACCATGACAGTGGTTTTCAAACTGTGGCCTGTGAATCAATGATGATTTGCAGAAAACATGCTGATGATCCACAGACAGTTGATCAAATGTTGATGGCTCTTCTCCGTGTTTCCACATGCTACATTTTTCTAAAACACAGCTAATAATACATATATTAAATATTTCCCTAATATTTTTCTTACAAAAGCTGAATGGTACATACACCCATTGTAATGTGATTTTAATAAAAAACGGGCAGCAGTTTTCTTCTTCAGGAAGTATTTTAAGACATGTTTACTTCATTTTTGGATGTGGTGCCACAGGACTGAGCTGTGCTCACCAGCAGCTTCCACACTTCAGGAAAATGCTAGTTTTAAATAGTAAAATCTGGTTAAAAAACCAAACATATGAAATCTTGCTTTGTAGTTTGGGGAACTTTAAGATGAATGTTCTGAAGAAAAAATAATTGAGGAAATTTAGAATTTCATACAGGCATTTGTGTGGGTGCACCAGGGAATAGATGCTGAGCCATAGATTGCTCATGTTTTGCTCATGGTGATCACATTAAATTATACTCACTAACCAATGGCTTCACTTTGATCATGTGAGTTAATTTACAGATAAATTATTCCACACCTATCCTAAAGCCTATAGTAAAAATAAGGCATTTATTGCATTCTAATGTATGTAACTGTCCTTGTAAAAATGCATCAAGTCTTCCAGCAAAATATTTTGACCAGTACATAGTAAAATATCTCTGTGAGAGAAGGTGACCATATTTTGTTACTAATTTCCCTGACAGTTAGAATTGTAATTTTCATTCTCTAGTGTGCCTAGTTTCCTAGCTCTGTTGATTTAGTATTTTTCATTTTAACCAGAAAATTGCTTCCTGATTTAAATTTTAGTAAAGTAATCATTGCCTGATAAAGAAAACAAGAAATTACTAATTTGGGGGAAGATATTATTCTGGCAGTCTTATACTTTGGCTGAGATCTTACCAACATTTAGATATGAGCTGTCTAATAATTATTTTCATTTCTGCCTATACCTCTTGATGCAGTAAGTCTTAAGTCCATATGAAATGTTAATATCAAAAATAATGAATAAAATCTACCTCAGAAAGGAAAATTATTTCTTCTCAAAAGAGAAGGGTAATTCTAATTTATGCATATTTTATTGCTACTATTCCATTCAAGAAACACTGCATTGTTATACTTTAAATTAATCCACATACTTTCAAAGTTGTTTGTTTGGTTTACAGGAGTGTTTAGTACTTTGGGAGGTTAAAATAGTAAAGGTATAAAAGTTGCTGGGGTTTTCCATGAAAATAGAAATAAATTACGAGATTTCCATGGAAAAATAAATGGAAAACTCAATTAAATTAATATTTAACCCTACATTTTTATACTTAGGAAGAAGAGATAATACTCCTAATTTGATGTGCATGAATTTGTTCTGTGTGAAACAGGCATATTCTTCAGAAAGAACTGAGGACTATAAAATGAATAAACATATAAAAAGCGTCCTTTAGGAACTAATCCAACTGTAGGACCTGAAGCAACTCTAGGAAATAACCTGCATTGTGAAGACAGCTGAAAAAGAGATGGAGTTTCAAGGAAAAGAATTGTTACCAAGGCTAAAATTCACTGCTGTACAGAGGGCCAACAGGAGTCTATTCCATATTTGGAAAAAAAACAGAGAGATTTGATAGTGAGAAATGGGCTGACAAATAGACAAGCTGCCTGTTTGATCATAGTTAATCAAATTGCAAATATCAAGTGTGTGAAGCATCAAAACCTTCTCACCATGTGTACAATGCTCTCAGAAATCTCTGAATGACCCTTCTGAGAACCACAATTGACATTTGGCACCCAAAAGCAAATTAATACCAAAGAAATAGTTGCTTATTGGCTAATATGAATGTTTAGGATGGCTTTCAGAATCATAGCTTTATGGGGTTTGATGTGAATGCAATATAAAATTCTAAAAGAAGTTAGAGCCTGTCATTTAGTTACAACCTGTCATTTGGGGTTTTTTTTGGGATGAAAATGAGCATCTCTCTCCAGATTGTACTAATTTTAATGATGCAGCTGAGTATGAAATTCAGTTACTTGATCACATAATACCTCAATATTTGGTAAACATAATTTAGATCAAAGGAATGGACAGTGAAAAATTGATCAGCAGAATATTTTCTGGAATCCTTTATGAATCAGAGTAACATCTGTGGGAATTCCCGATATGAAAAGCTCATTTATGCTCTTTTTACTCTTCTGCACCGTACATTTAGTTATACAATGGAAAACAGTAATTTAGCAAATAGCAATATGCAGTTGTTTTTTTGTCATGGATAGGCATAGAAGAATGGATCATGTGGCAAGCTAATTCAGTAACAATCTTTGAATTAATTCTTTGGGTTGATGTCACAGTAACTGGAAACATCTTTGCCTTGGTTTGCATTTATCCTATTTGACTTCTGAGGTTCACAGGAAATATATCTTCTTTCAGCAGGCACAGTGCCTCTTCCTATCTTGTTCCTTCATACTTCAGTAGAACATGAGACACCATACTACCTTTAGCCTGTAACATGAGCACTTAACCAGGAGACACTTGCTTAGATAAGTGATAAACATTCCTAGAGAATTTACATGAGAATTAACTTAGAACCAGACTTATTTCCATACTTATTTTCAAAGTAATGTAAAAGCTCCTGGGCCAGCTACTCATCTTTTAAATATGGCTCTGCTACTTTGAACTGGCCTTCTTGCATGTATTATTTACAACAGCTTCTATTTCTGTCTGCTGTGCAAAGGAAACAAAATAATTTAATTACAAACTCCCAGCTGCTTTCACATTGAGCATAAGAAAGTGGCTTTGTTAAGATCTTTGATCTTTATTTAAAATTTTAGCAAACTGAAATTACACATGAAATCTATCTCTTGAGCAAACTGTCTTTAAAACATTTGAATGGAGAAAGACTGAAAAAGTGAATATTGCTGCACCTTCTCTATATAGGAACTCAGGCTAACAGTAAATAAAGGAAGATATTTTTTATTAGAAGGGATTAGGAAATAAAATACAAGTAATTAACTCTCCACCAAAAAAAAAAAAAGTACTTCAAGTATGAATAATAATAACTAAATATATTTTCTGAGATTATGATAAAATTAAACAAAATAAACCAATGATAATACCTTGTTCTTTTTACACACCTGTGGTGGCCCACTCAGCAGCAGTCTCCGTGGGTGAAAGGTGTCCATTCTGCCCTCGTTTCTGTTGTTGTAGTCCATGTGGATCGGCTTGGGAACCGTCCACTGGCGGTAGTACAGCGACTGCTCCGTGCACGTCATCATCTTGCTCATAAGAGGACGAAAGGAACTTGCCCACATAACGGAATGGTAAGGCAGGAGGGAAGAGGATTTGGGAAGTCCGCTGCTGTCTGTAGAAGTAATAATGTCATAAACCAGTTTGGGCAGGAAAACTATGGGTGGCTGTTTTGATGCTTTGGTCATGGAGCATTGAGACGTCTGTAGGATGAAGGAGTTATGAGTAGGTGCAGAGGAGGAAGAAGAGGAGGAGAAAGGTGAGGAGGATGATGAGGTGATGGAGACTTGGGCACTTTTTACATTTTGTTTCATATCCAGCTGTTCAGTTACTGGTGGCAAGTGTTTGCTGATTGTTGTTTGTGCCCCCTTGTCTACTTTCTGCTTCTGCCTTTCATAGTTATTTGTAGTTTCTTCAGTGCTGTTACTTTGGGCTTGGGGAGGAGATGACTCTGTGCAGAATGCTGTAACTAAAAGAAAAATTGTATTTCAATATAGTGCAACTATCTCTGCTAGTCAATGCCACAGTTAAACAAAACACAACAAATAATCCTCTTGATACATTGTCTAGCAAACATTGCAATCTTGTTCCTCTTCTTTCTTTGACCTTCCTCGTACAGGAAGCCGTAATGGGACTAGTTTGGAGTGTTCATTTCAATGCAGAAAGTGGCTTTTAAATTCCTGAAGTGCATAGGAAAGATGTCAGTGATTGTCCTCTATTTCCAACATAGGTTCCTTGCTTAAGGTGCTCTCCGGATACTTTAATCACTCAAGACAAACACAAAATTACTGAAACCATTGTTTAAAGGAATTGAAGAAAATAAGTACCAGGCTATTACCCCACCATACTATAGAAATATCTACTCAGACTGACATCTAAAAACAGTCCTCTAAGTCAGCTCTGCTCTGACACCCATATATCTGTGTCACTGCAGCACTTAGGCTGATCTAATAAAACCTGGCACCCCTCAAGCCCCTGGTGCTGCATAATGCATTAGTGCATTCATACAGCTTTGGGTCAGCTCAGAGAATATACTGAACTCATGAATGTTGCCTGGGAATATGTGATGTAGATATACCCCACAGATAACTGCAGATTTTCTGAATGCTGAATATTTTTACCCTATATATTTTAACTATTAAGATTTCTTGAAAGTTTAACACGTTAAATGGTTCTGAACATCTTTAATGCTTAGTTAAAGAGGCCACACAACTATTTCACAGTCTTCAAAGTAGATAGAGAACTGCTTGTGGAATCAAGCTACATAAGGTATTAGAAATACCTGCCTAAGGCTGAACATAGATTAAACCAGATTTCCTCTCATGGTGAAAACAACCATCCTGGTTCTCAAAAAAACCCCACATTTTGAACAAACAAAAGTCAGTTGTTTCTCCTGATCTCAGGAAATTATAAGCTATCCTCTGTCTATTAATCTAAAGTAGTCAGTAAAAGCCATTAGCAACAAATATGAAAGTGTCATCAGCACCATGAATGGTCACAAGTAACATCTGAGACATCCCTCAAAATACCAGTATCCAGGGACACAGAAAAAAAAAGAAAGTAAGATTTCTTTAACCACAGATGAACTGAGGGCACAGAGTCATGGGCAGGCCACAGTAGAAGCATCTAGTTTGGGCACACCATGACATGATAATTTTTCAAGCAAAAAAAGATCCTATTTCCTATATTTCAGAAGTCTAACCCCTATATTTTTTAGTCATCTTAATTGATCCCATTAAAATAGGCCTTATCAAAACCCTGGTGATTTATGCCTTTTATTATTTATCTAGTAAGCTAAGGTCTCTTTTGTGTCCTAAACTTAAATTAACAGAGATGATCTTATGGTCTTACTGGAAGCTTTTGAAGAGAGAGATGAAGATGCAGAGTCATGGGAGCGTGATCTTTCTCTTTTCATAGGACTTCTCTTTTCTGAAGTAGAACCTGTTTCATGAATGATAGTAAGGGAAAACAAAATCAAAATATAATTTAGGTAAGGCTGTGAGTCGCAGCTATATTGTCAAAGGAAAGAAAAGTACACAAGGGTTTGTGTGAGGCTTGTCCTCATCCTACACTGTCTCCAGTATGGAGAGTATCTGTTCCCACCACAGAATATTGGATCACCCTAAGGTCTAATTTACCTATGCTGAGCTGCAATAGCTTCTAAAATTCACTGTTGCAATGGGGAGCTGGTAATATCTAGGCCTGTCTCAACCATGATTTCTCTTCCAGCCCATGTCTTACATTCCCCACTAATCCAGTGTCAGGGAAAGCTGCAGGCAACAAGCTCTATTTTGTCAGTTTGTTATGAAATTAACTCTTATCCCACACAGCTTTATGGCCAGATTAGAGCTCAGCTTTTGGTGATGGAGATCCTCATTGGGTGGCCATCAAGGCCATTCACTTGAGATTCCTAGTTTGGCTTTTGGGCTTCTAAGTCAAAATGTTTGTTTCTGTACAGTTTTAACGTGATAAACTGAGACATAAGCACTGCCATCAGAAAACAGACTGTAAGCCTACCTCACATGTTCTGAATGGGACTCTGGGTTGTCATACCATACTTCATGGACTAGGAGAGCAGCCTTAGACAACATAGGAGCTTATCTGGCTCAGATCACATACAATCTCAACTAAATGGACAGAACTACTCATCACAAGAACTACTCATCACCTCTGAAGCAGGCATCTACTGAACACAGTTTGAGTATGACCTCAGGTATTTCGTGCCCCTATGAAGAGTACATATTGGATTAAATAAAGTATTTTTGTTCAGCTTGTTCTGCTACCATTTTCAGTGAGTAAGAACTTCCTATGTGAATAGTAATTGGCTTTATTCCTCCTCATAGTATAGAAAAGGAAATGAAGGCAAGTTGTTTGAGATTTAAATATTTTAGAGGGATAAAAATCCTTTCTTTTCCACAGGCACGACGGATAGTAAAGAAAAGTGTGTAGAACTAATAAATAACTGATTATGCCCATCAATTATAACTCAAAAAAAACCCCTCCAAAAAGTAATTGTTCCTGGGAAAATTATTACTGGTTTTTTCACATATTTGTATGTTCTCAAGTGGTTTCTTAAAAAATGATGATTTCACCGACTCTACACAGTCAATTTGAAATCATGGGCATTTTCAAGGAGAACTCAGAAGTTCCTATGTTGAGATCTATTTTCTATCCATACTATTTAACACCTTACAAACTAGGGACTATTCAGCTGTTTCCTTTGAAGGAATCTTTATCATTGACATCACTGTAAGCACAGGTTTGGTAGCATTTAGTTGGAGCTGCCACTGCCTCGAGGGTAGGGATTCGGTCACTGCTGCTGCTTCTCAGACAGCAAATCCACCCTTTCCTGCTGAGGAGGGAGAGTGCAGAGGGTCCTCTGAGCAGTGAGTGTCACCTGGTGTTCCTACTCGAGCTCCACTTTGTAGAGGAACACAGGAGGGAGCCAGAAAACAGAGAGAAAACAGATTCAGCAAGAACTGCAAGAAGTTAAAATGCATCAGCAACAGGAGGGTGAGTAAACAGAGGTTTTCAATGAGATTAAACAAAACTAAGGAGCAGAGCTCACTCAGTAAGACTAAAGTGAGAAACCCTCACCCATATATTTCTGCTTTTGCTAATCATTCTCAATCATTTTACAGCTTCTTTTATTACCAGTAATAAACAATACCTTCTGTCACTATTTCTTCATCTTCATTGTCAGTACTGCTTAGCTTCTCTGGGTCACTTTCTAACACATCATTCACAACTGCTTTCTCTGTGTGAATTTCTGAGCTCACAAAATATGCTGCCAAACCGAGTTCTTGCTCCAGGGTTGTCCGTACCAAAGAAGATGAATTTATTAAACGTAGGTCGCAGTATCTCAGTGATCTGGAGAGAAACAGGAGGAGCTAGTATGAAAACTCATTGTGATCTACCGCCTAATCTCTTTAACACAGCCAAAGGGGAATTTTTTCACCATTTGCTTCAACAAGGGGTGAGATAGAACACAGTATTTTGTGCTTAATAAGTTTACTGTGATGCCTACACTTTTCTTTCTCTTAACCAAGTTACACAACTTAATTTACTACACTGAACATTAGCATCAGCATAAGAAAAAGAATAGTCATTTGGATTCTAAACCTAACACACACAGAATTCACAGGATTCAATTGAACATACAAAAGCATTTAGTGCCCCAGGGCATCCTGTCTGGCTTCCAGCTGCCATTCCAGAAGGCACTGATCTCTGCACATCCTGGAGCACACATACCAGCATCATGCAGACTTCTTAGTTACCCTAAGAAAACTAAGGAGCTATAATTCTTTTTTTTTTTAACATACCCGTTCTCTTCTCTAAACTGGGATAACTCTCATAATATTTTTGGAGCTATTTACATTTTGCTATAAACAGAACTTTATTATCAATAACACTGAAATGTGTTTTCCTCTCACACAAGTAATCACACAATTAATCTTTAGTTATTTGATAAGTAATGGATAAAACACTGCCACTAAGAAAAGAGTGGATCTTCTTACCGTGGCAAAGATTCCCCCTGTGGATCCATCCCACTAAATATCAATATGCAAGGCAAACCTTCCAATTCCAAATAGGTCTGTGGCCTCCAATCCACATCCTCAATTTTCTGCCAGATCTGTACAAGGTAGAGAAACCCTGTGGGATGTATCTATATTTTGGACTTATTTATAACTATATAATAGTTTTTTTATATATTTGAGATATAGATATATTAAATAAAAAGATAGAAAGACACACTTTATCATCCATTATAATAATTCACTTGTACAGTGGAAGAGAAGCCACACAGCAAATCCAAATTCAACACAGATAGATCTCACAGTTTCTAGAGCATTACAGGCAGCAATCTGCCTGCTGTTAGTCTGAGGACATTGGGACAGTATGTTACAGCCTGAAAAACCTCTCAGCTTCCACACTGCATAGATAGCACTGAGACCAGGGCATATGGCAAATATGGCACAATGGAGAATAAAGCTGAGCAGGAGTTTTGGGGGAGAGAAGAGAATACAGTGGCTTCTTGAGGCAGATAATATATGGGTGTCTGAGTATAAGGAAGAAGATAAGCTAGAAATGAGATTTTTTCACTTTAGAAGATCAGGAGAAAGTTGGAAGTACTCAACACACACCACTGTCCCTATTTACAACCCTCTGGAGTCTCCCACTCTCCCCTAAAGCTATTCATTTTCCTGGTAACTTTGTGAGAAATCTGACAAGTCCATGTATTGTTTGACTGTTCAGCATCAGGCTATATTGCTTTACTCACCAGTCAGTCCTTTCTGCTGTAAGACTGATCTACAGATAAGGAGTATCTGTGGTATGATCAACAGTACAACAATTTGGCCTCTGGCATCTGTACATGTTCCCCTCCATACGTGTCAGAGAACATAATCAGGATGTGATTCAGAACTAACACTGATTTTTCAGAGTAAGTGATGCCTAATTAATAGCAGGATGAGATGAGCATTAGGCTCTGGATCTCAGATTACTTCATCTAACACGTATTGGATCAAACAGAATAAACAGTATACTATATATATGTATATATATATAAATATAACAACATTTTGGAATGGGAATACGTTTTTGCTTTGGCAATCAGAAGATGGTAGTTTTATGAAAAGCAAATGAGGCTTTTTTTAAATAGATGACCCATGATTCTGACTTAAAGGATATAAATTAATCCATAAACCAAAACATGATTCAGAAAGCATAAAATCCCGACCTGTGAGCACCAGGGTGCTCTAGGATCCATAACTATCATCACTGATCAGGCAAATCAGTCTTCTTGCCCCCCGCTGGTGACAAGAATAATTTAACTATCAACTAGTCACTGATTAAAATCTTTTTGCACTGCGATGTTTTTGTGAAAAAATTCAGCTAAAACTGAACAGCTTATTTAGCTTTTTAATGTATTTCTCATAGTCCCTTTTGATAAAAGCATTTCAGCTGTTTCTGAGGGTTGCTACTGGAAGTCAAGGGCTAACCATATTAGTTAATACTTCAATGAGCATTAACCACAGGCAGGACAGAAAAGGTGTCACAGACAGTATGTGCAAAAGGTAAAAGTCATGCTCCTCATGGCAGTTTTTCTTTTTACTGTAAGACTCCACACTTCAGCTCATGACTATCACTGTCACCAGCAAAGTTTCCCTACCTACCCATCTAATGGAGCTTGCCAGCACATGCCATTCTGCAATTTACCTTTAGTTGTTCCACAAAGTGCTTCCCGATTGTGATTCCAGAATTAGGATTTCCCAAGATTATCTCAAAGTTATCTTCAAGGGCTAGTCTTTCCCTTACATTATGCAGACGTTCATATGCCACTGCAGCCAGTGGGACACATGGAATTCTCAATACTACCATGAGGCCATGGCCACTAGGACATTGTCTTGAAGAGTTTATTAGATTTTGGGTGATTTCCAGAGTTTCAACTGAGGTGTAATTCTTCATCTGAGAAAGGCCACACACTGCCATCATAGCTGCAGAGTAGTGTTGGATAAGGACAAAAGTCCTTATCACTGCACTGTGTAATCTGGGGAACCTGAAATAAATGGTGAATTAAAGAGCATTAATGGATTAAGTGAAAAGGCTATTTATATTTTTTAAATATAGTAAACTCAGGATATTCTCCTGTAAAGAATCTTTCATATCTACTATACAACTGAATCTCATCAATTGCAGTTGTACAGTGTTTGCAAGGCATCATTTCACAATCAGAACTGATCGTTGTCTCCTCATTTCTCTTCCTAAAGATTTACTAAGCAAGTAGTCCAGTAAGGTTACATCATTTTAGTTTATCCATACCTTACTGCTGTTAGAAAATTTATCACATAATATTAGCTGAGGACCTCAGTAATATCATCAATCAAAATTAAATTTTCTTATCAATAAGAAGAGTATTCTTCATTGTGTGCCATTTTAAGGGGCAGAGATGGATTGGGTGTTTCTCTTGTTTTCCTACTGAAGCCCTGAACCAACTCACTCTTGTGTTCAAGAGGACTGAATATGTAGGCAGCAACCAATGAGCACTCCAACTTCCCAAGGCCAGCTACACCCTGTCTCAATCCCCAGTTTATGGAAAGTTTATAGATATCTAATAGCTTCCTGTGTTCTGATTTTCACAGAAATTAAACCCAGGTGCACAGTAAAAGGAGTGCTTGCTATGGCTTGCTCAGAAAAGCGACTATGGCTTGCTCTGAAGTTTTTATTTCTGATTTGTGTGTACCTACCACAGTGATATATGTAACTTCTCTTTATGTTCCAAGTGCAGTATACACAGAATCAAGATCAGCCAGGGTGAGCAAGTGATAATATTAGACAAAAATAATAACACATTTTAAATTACATGATGATACAATGTTAGATTATTATAATATAGAGGTAGTTAGAGGTCACTAGAAGAACACACTGTAAATTGGGCTAAGCAGTGTGCATGCTCTTAGTAAGAGACAGCCTCGACTGATGACATTGCAGGCCCGTATATACTAAATAGATAGGAGAAAATAACAACAGGTGAAATGCCTTGCATATGTGAATTATGTGTAAGACAGTGAGAAGGAAAAAACAAAGCAAAACAAAAGAAACAAAAAACATTTAAAAAAACCCAAACAAAACG